GGCCTATATTATAAACCTAATAACTAACTGACCTTGTTTTTTAATGGAGTCACTTATGCTCATCAAGGCTGTATTTATTTGATCAAAAATACAGAAAAAAACCCCGAATATTGTGAACTATTAGGCTATTGCAATTTCTAATATTGGTTTCCTATTTTAATATACTTTAAAATATAATGTATTCCTGGTGAAGCAAAGCTGTATTTTCAGCACCATTCCTCCAGTCTTCAGTGGCACATGTTCTTCAGAAATCTTTCTAATATGCTGATTTATTATCAGTGTTGAAACTGTTGTGCTGCTTAATATTTTTTTTATTGTGCTGTTTTGATTCTTTGATTAGGCTAATAAAAAGTAAAAAAGAACAGCATTTATTAAAAATAGAAATCTTTTCTAGTAATATAAGTCTTTACTATTAACACATCCTTGCTGAATAAAAGTATTAATTAAAAATTAAAAAAACAAGAAAGAAAGAATTTACTGACCCCAAACTTTTGAATAGTAATCAGAATCAGAATGAGTTTTTATTGCCAGGTATGTTTACACTGATGATGCATATTATATACCAGCAAGCAGGTGCGATCAGAATATGAACCCAAAGCTAAATCGCATAAGCATTTTCCCATAAAGAACATGCACACACACAAGGAGTGCCAGCTGCCGCTAGCCAATACTGTATATACGCACACACGCGCACACACAAACATTTATTTATTTAATGTAACACTTTAGTTATTAGCTAGTTGCTTGCATATTACTATATTAGCGGTTTATTAGTACTCATAAAGCACATACTAATGCCTTATTATGAGTGACCATATTACATCTTATCTAAGCTGCGCAAAGAAACAATGTGCCGCGCACACACAAAGAAGAGTGGCCTGATCAAGTGCTGGAAATAGCGGATGATGGGCACAGAACCGTACAAAACTCAGACACATGTACAGTCACGCACAGGTGTACTGTGCAAACTGTACTTCATAGGGGTGTTCACTTTTTATGTATATATATATATATTTAACTTGCAGATCTCAGTTTAAATGCTTTAGTTTGTTTTGATATTATATTATATTATGTTAGGCCTATATTATAAACCTAATAACTAACTGACCTTGTTTTTTAATGGAGTCACTTATGCTCATCAAGGCTGTATTTATTTGATCAAAAATACAGAAAAAAACCCCGAATATTGTGAACTATTAGGCTATTGCAATTTCTAATATTGGTTTCCTATTTTAATATACTTTAAAATATAATGTATTCCTGGTGAAGCAAAGCTGTATTTTCAGCACCATTCCTCCAGTCTTCAGTGGCACATGTTCTTCAGAAATCTTTCTAATATGCTGATTTATTATTAGTGTTGAAACTGTTGTGCTGCTTAATATTTTTTTTATTGTGCTGTTTTGATTCTTTGATTAGGCTAATAAAAAGTAAAAAAGAACAGCATTTATTAAAAATAGAAATCTTTTCTAGTAATATAAGTCTTTACTATTAACACATCCTTGCTGAATAAAAGTATTAATTAAAAATTAAAAAAACAAGAAAGAAAGAATTTACTGACCCCAAACTTTTGAATAGTAATCAGAATCAGAATGAGTTTTTATTGCCAGGTATGTTTACACACACGAGGAGTTTGTTTTCGTGACAGAAGCTCCCACAGTGTAACAGAATGACAGTGACAGAACAAAAACACAAGTAAAATAAGGAATAAAAATATACAAATTGACAATTGTATGTACAGGTATACTCATATACCTGTGTATATTGTAACACAAAATTTATATTTTGAATAAACACTGTTCTTTTAAACGTTTTATTTATCAAAGAATCCTGCCCCCCATGAAAATTAACCATGGTTTTATTGTAGTAAAAGTGTAGTAACCATGTTTTTTGGCACATTGATTACTATTTGTATAACCACAGTTTTCCTACAAAAACCATGGTAAAACTATGGTTAGTGTAGCGAGACCATGGTTAATTTGTGGTTACCATGGTTTAACTATAGTAACCATGGTTTTTTGGTTTTATTTGGAGTAAAACCATGGTTAATTTTCATATAGCATTTATTACAGTAGGCTACATAAACTATTCTGCCTTATTATGTGATACAAAAGGGAAAAAAAGTGTTTATAGTACATTAACAAATTATAACAAAAATTAACAAATCATGGCTCGCATAAATCGAGGCTGATAAGGGCCATTTTTAACTCCTTAAAACAAAATGATATAAATATAAAGTTAGATAAATTTCCCAGTAACGGATCAAATCGGGGCAAATAGCCAACATTAAAGAGAATTAGGCTACTGAACATGAGTAAGATATGCAAGCAGACAGTCAATATGGCAATCAATAAATTAACCGATACCCTCGAAACAACACATGCATCATTTCTTATGTCAGTCAGAATAATCCAATTTAAATGCAAAAAGTGAACAATATAAGTGACAGGAAAAAGCAACGTAATTAGCAGGTATTTCACACTCGTTCATGCACAGATAATGACAGTCAAAACTGTGTCATTCATTGATACATACTGAATTATAATCCGACAATTAAAAAAAATAACAACAACAACAATAATGCACTTAGCCTACCTTCGTGTCGCTCTATAATTTTACACATACCGAGAGGAAGCCTCTTGTTAAGTTCATATTTATTTATTTAGTCATTTACAAATGAGGACAACAGAAGCAATCAATTGTAGTATTCAAATCAACTAAAAACAGATCCAAAACTAAAAGCTGCAAAACTTTATAAATACTACTTATACACATTTAAAAAAATAAAGAGATTAAATAAAAATGACAAATGCCTACAACAAAATGTCAAACAAAAAAATAAAGCTAAAAACAATTCAAAATATTAAAGAACAAAAGGTATGAGTATAATAATGATTCTAACACAACACTAATTCAAACACCAAAAAAAAAAACAACTACATGTGTGTATGTACAACCACACACACACACACACACACACACATATATACTATATATGTACATACACATTTATAAATTCAATATATATATTATTTAATCATATTGTAGAAAATAGCCTAATACAGAACTTTGAACAGTCAAAACTAATAAAGTCTAGCAGTTTTCAAGGATTTATCAATCTGCACCGTTTAAAAGATAAAAGACAGGATCGTATAAACCAAGGTATTTAGTTTCGGTTGTGATGAACTAATTCAGATGTGCTCTGATTTCGGAGTTGCAGTGATAGAGCCTTCGTCTCATCTCACTCCACAATAATTCACGTCTTGAGAGTCGAGTCACTCTCCCACTCTTTAACTTATGTTTAGGCAGTGTGATTACTTGAATATACAGTCATTCAAAATCAGATACGTTATAACTTATCACGCTAAACACTCGTGTATCATAAAGTCTGTCTGCTGAGCGCTCGTGAAGTGCGGCTGTCGACGCTTACATCAGCACCAGCGCCTCTGCAGTGTGTGTGTGTGTGTGTGTGTGTGTGTGTAGTAACGTTGTGATGACTGATCGGATGCAGTACATGCATACTTGGGCTTGTTTGTTAAACAAGGAGCCTATGCAGTTTATATGTTTGAAACCCGCCAAATTGACCCCAAACCAGCCCAAATTGTGTCCCGCCCAATCTGGCAACACTGACTGTAATGCAGAGAGTGTGCGCGAGCGAAGCTGATCCTGAGTCAGATACAGCAGCACCGGAACGACCAGCGGACCGGAAGTCGTTTTCTTGCTCTCTGGGTCACATCCGAACGGGATCCAGAAATTCGCGCCACCTGTCGTACAAATGGACCGCCTAATGAATCTAGCTGGAAAGCATACACACATTTACATTTTCAACCACTTTAAACCGTTTAGAAAGAGACAAATAATGACCCAACTTTTACCCTATAGCTATATGAACTGTTTGATCTAATATGAATATGGCAGATTAAACCTATGTGAATGCGATATGGCTGAACATACCAGTCAAAAGTTTGACTGCATTGATGTTTGCCATTTTCTACGTACCTAGTCAATAAATAATCAAAAAGACCCAGTGTTGGTAAGTAACGCGAGTTACGTAATTTCAAGTAACTTTTTTCAAGTAACTAGTAAAGTAACGCATTACTTTTTAATTTACAAGAGAATATCTGAGTTACTTTTTCAAAAAAGTAACGCAAGTTACTTTTTTTCAATGTATTGATTGACAGCTCTCCTGTCCCCATGTTGAGAGAAATCAGATGTTACTGTAGTTCAAAATAAATATGAATATGCATTAATTCATCTCACTCACAAAAAAAAACACACACAGATTCAGTATTCCTCAAAATGAATAAAAATAATGCAACTCAGAATATGACGCAAACCTGCAATAATTAAATATTAAACAACACAAATATGCTTTATGTATTTAATCCCATTCTATTAAACAATGTCTTTGCTTCTGACCTTCGATGATTCAGTTCAAGCGTACTAATAAGCACAAATTACTCTAGACGAACATTTGTGTCTTTGTTTATTGCTGAAGTGTGTTGAAATGTCTTCTTCTGCATTTATACTGTACGGATGTAACTTTACTTTCCCTTCAGCCTGAGGCTCATTCATTTCACTTTTGGTGTGAAAATGCTTTTATATTTGCCAAAATATAACTTTTTTATTTTAAAAACAAACAAACAAGCCCTGTCCAGATTTAAAAAGTAACGCAAAAGTAACGTAACGCATTACTTTCCATAAAAAAGTAACGAAGTACCGTAATTCGTTACTTTTTTAATGGAGTAACGCAATATTGTAATTCATTACTTTTAAAAGTAACTTTCCCCAACACTGAAAACACCTAATCATTCTGCTGTGTTTGACTGGGCTCCATCTATCTGATGGGTATGTGAGAATTTGCATTAATAAGAATTGGGTTTCTTGGGGACTTCCAGTCTGGGACACTGAATATTTAGATAGACTTAATGTAGAGCTTGACGTCTACTACGTAGTTTCATGGGTGGGAATAAACCAGAACCACCCATTCACAGCCATGCCAGCAGAAGAGCCCGAGCGACACAGTTCAACGCAGTATTTCAGCAGATCCCGCCACACACCGTTCATAATCCGTTCATAATATACTACCGCAATGAACGGTAACTATGCTCGTATGACGGCTGAATATAAATCAGCGCATATCCGGATTATTATAGCCTAACGCAAAGAAAAGAAAAGAAAGAAAGTAGCAAACGTCACCATAAGGGTAAGACAACGTTTCATGACTTCCGAAAAGAATCCGAAAAGAATCCGAATAGAATCCGAATAGAATCCGAATATAGAGCACTGTGTTGCCTTTGATGATAATTAAAGCTGTAAAGCTTCACTGTCACTGTTATAACTGTGTTCAAATATGTTGTGACACGGGATTTTATGACAATCTTTTTTGTTCTGGCCCGTTCAGGTAACTCTATCTTTTTCTCATCTCTACTTGGTACTTGATACTTGGCTTTATAATCAACAAAGTCAAGATATATCTGTGTCTACTCATTATGGTGTGCAGTGCATGTGCTGTATGTGCCTAACATTGCTTCTCTAATAAGTCACAAATTAGTGTTTGCTTGATTATTTATGAAGCCCAAGTGCTTGATCTTTGGGGAGAGAGAACTATTCGGTATCTTATAAAGTAAAATGTATTCAGTTTTTGTTCACAACCTAGCCTACCTGTTGTGTTCAGTGAGTACAGCAAGCTCAGCCATTTAACCCAATAAAGAAAGTTGTTGTGTTTATGGGGAATGTAGATCAATAACTACAGAAAAAACACCAAACTAACAGCGAAGGGTTACATTTGTAACCCTTTTACATTTTACTTAAGTATTTCTGTTTTATTAGAACCGTTAACTTGATTTCATTTTCATGCTGATGTTTATTTAATGTTTATTGTAATATAATAATAATAATAATGTCACTGGGATTAGGTTTTTAAATCTCATTTAAACGTGCCCTAAATTTTGGTAACAGGATTGCAAAAATTATGTAAATTAAAAATTATACAGTGTTGAAAAAGAACAAAAAAAAAACTTTTTAAAATATGATATTTGTTATTTTAACTCCTCTTTTGTAACATGCATGCTCAAATTATGTATTTCAGTACGTCTCTACATGTATTTCTTAAAAGGCAATAAATAAACAAACAAATACATAAATTCAATATAATCAAAGGAAGAAAAGCACAAAATGTCATGACCTTTCCATTAATCAGATCATCCTGATCTTTGCAGACAAAACTACTATTAACAATACATTATATTGTTGTTGCCCCAAAACAGTTTTAGCTTGAAAATTGAACTTGCCTCCGAAACGCTAAAAGACTCACATGCTTCAGGTCTCATGATTCTATTTATGGGCCATTCCCCTGTCTGGGTCGCCCCTCCACCGTTCGCCCATCCTCAAGTGAAATATACATTTGTGTAAAGAATTCAGAATACCACAATGTATATACAATTACTTCTGATTGACCAGGTTCAGTCTGAAATGGTAGATTACTGATGCAATGCTGAGGATTTAGTAGATGCCCATGTTGCCTCTCTCCATGTGATCATATTCATAAAGATATAAATAGCAAAAACTGAATGTGATTCAGCCTTCTGTTATGGTTCCATTCCAGCTTTGCACTGTAACACCATTAAATGTGATAAAATACATTATCATCTTTAATCTAATATAGTTAAATAGTGGGACATGGTTTGACTCACTTCCATGACTAAAGTTCTTTGTTCATCCTTTAGTAGTTGTTTATAGGCGAATAGAGCCTGCAGTGTTCACAGTAGCATGTTCTAGAGACTTTCTCTTCCTCCAAATCACATTATTTGTTGGTATGTGGATAATACTGAACATACTGAACAGGCAGACAGAGCTCTGTCTGAAAATGTTAAGCTAATTAGCACGTCACAAACAAAGTTAGTGCCTTTATGTCTGTGTGTTTAAATCAGTATAGAAAATATAAAAATGTTACGCAATTCATGCATGCGTATAAAATCTGGCTTTGATTTTGGTGGATCCAGATAGATCTGTTTTTATCTGTTCTTGTGACAGAACATTTAGTTTTATGCATTTAGCGGACCCTTTTATCCAAAACCATGGCCTTTTATACAAAAGAGGGACAAAACCAAGACCTAACAATATTTTTTATACTCAATGCCTAGATTAGGAAGCAAGCTTGAGAAGAAGACAAATACAGAGGAGACAGTGAAATTCAGTGAAGGGTGATTAGTCTCCACAGGAAGTTGTCTGAATGTTTAGCGGAACAGAAATGATAAACAATATTACATAGGAAATGGGGGCAGGTTAAGGGGTCTAAAAATCGAAATCGCTTATTAATAAAATGATAAAAATGCATTGATATGAATATCTAAATGATATAAAAGATACGTAAATATTTTTACGTTTTTTAGCTAAAAATACGTAGCGATTTGTACGTTTTAAACGTTGAAATACGTCTAAATTGTACGTTTTAGCATGACTAAAAACGTACAAAAGTGTACGTTTTGCGCTTGTAAATGTTACGTATTTATACCTACGTATAAACATGAGACCAGGCTGACATTTCGCATACTAGGTTTTGAGTGACGTGACATGACATGACATGACATGTCTATTTCTGCTCTCCTAAAATGTGATCAGCTGTTTTTCACAGGAAGAGTCCGTTTTCTGAAGCAGCTTTTAGAAACAATGGGAGGATGTTGTTGTTGTTCACAAAACTGTCACAGCAGATGGTCTCTTGCTCTCTAATTTTTTTAACAGTGCACTAAGTAGTAGTGTTTTCCATTTACAAAAGTTTTAGACCAACAGAGCTAAATAATGCTTTTGACAAATCTAATTCAAATGACTTACACTCACAGGAGATTAAAAAAAAGTCATATGAGTGGCTTCGGCAAAACGTTGTTTTATTCTACATGAAGGAGGATTCATTGTGGCAGCCATGTTGAGTTCATGTTCACTACTATATTTGGTAACACTTTAGAATAGGGAACACTTATTCACTATTAACTACGACTTTTCCCTCAATAAATTCCTAATTTGCTGCTTATTAATAGTTAGTAAGTTGTTAAGTTTAGGGATTGAGTTGGCTTTAGGGATCTAGAGCATGTTCAAAGAGAATAAGGCATTAATATGTGCTTTATAAGTACTAATAAACAACCAATATGTTAGTAATATGCATGCTAATAAGCAACTAGTTAATAGTGAGAATTGGACCGTAAAATAAAGTGTTACCGAAGTCAATGACCGTTTCAGGGATGAGGATGAATGGTCTTGGTTCTCAGCTTGTTTTGTCTGTGTAGCCTACAAGAATATAGCATGCCATATACAAATTTTTTTTTTCCCTATTATATTAATCAACATCAATAATTATTATTACAATATTAATTATTAATTTTTGTCATAAAATGCAGCCCTACTCTGTATTTTTTTAAATTATTTTACAAATGTATATATGCCTACTTTATATAGGATGAGATAAATTACATTAATCTCATTATTGAAATATTGTATGTCACCTTTGAGTCTGTCGGCAGTCTGTGTAAATAAACACAATATGTCAGATGCAGTTTCTGTGCCACCTTTGCAGTCTAAAGATGACTTTTGTTGATGTTGATGCCATTTTATTGGTTACAGCCTGAGCCTAAAGCATTCTGATTTACTGAATTAATAAAAAAAAAATACAAGTATTTGACATAAAAGACAGCACGGATACATTTAATAATTAGAATTAATAAGGTAATTAAAAAATGTTACCTTTCCTGTAAACAGTGCACCTGGAAAACAACCCCAGAGAGCAAATATTGTCATCACTAGTCAGGTCAGAGATGTATTTTTCCATTCATTCTTCTAAAGCAGGGCTGCCCAAACTCGGTCCTGGAGGGCCGGTGTCCTGCAGAGTTTAGCTCCAACTTGCCCCAACACACCTGCCTTCAAGTTTCTAGTATGCCTAGTAAGAGCTTGATTAGCTGGTTCAGGTGTGTTTAACTGAGGTTGGAGCTAAACTCTTCAGGACACCGGCCCTCCAGGACTGAGTTTGGGCACCCCTGTTCTAAAGTGTGACTATGATGTAAAAAACGTCTTGTGAACATTTTCAACTTGTAAAACTACTGTGCATTGACCCCTAGAAGCTGACCTGGAATGGCAATATTCAACCATCTCCTGAGTTTTGTGTGCAATTTGCATCAGACGTTCGGTTAACAGACTGTGGGTGAGCCGTCTGAGGCTGAGACTGCTAAATTAGTAACTCTTTTATCATTTAATCAATATTATTTGTCTTTTTCTTAAATGCGAGCTGATGTGAGAATATGGATGTCTCACAGAAATGATCATTGTGTAGTCAGAATTCCTTTGTGGCAAGATTAATCCATCTTCAAAGCCAATTTATGCTGAGTGACATTTATTAGACTTACACATATGCAAGATAAATTCAACTGATGTTCACTGAATAACATGTGATCATATTTCCTGCAGCAGCTAGAATTTTAAACACTGGCTTGTGTATCTTGAAAAATTAGCTGATGTCACTGGGATGTAATTTTTAGAGCATGTGCATGTGCTTCGTTTCCTTGTTTATTTTTCCGTGCCTGGTCTTTGAGGAAACAGCTTTTGCTGCATGGATCAACTGTCTAGCACTCACTGTCCTGAAAGACAATGGCTGCTGTTCCAGGAGACCCTAGGGCCGTACCAGACCCACTTCCCTTCAGGAAAGAGCAGCTGTGTTGCTGCACTGGCTGTGACACTAGTTAAAACAATGCAACGCACTGTAGTCTGTAGCTTAAAAGAACAGTTTGCCCTAAAATAAAAAATCTGTCATCATTACTTGCACTCAAACACCGTCAAGATAAAAAAAAAAACACAATGAAAGTACAATAAAAGTAACTCCAAAGATGACTTCTGTTCTTCTGTTGAACAGAAAAGGAGATCTTTAGCAAAAATGCTCACACTGCTCTTTTCCACAAAACAAAGTAAATAGAGATGGACGCTGTCAAAGCTTCACAATGACACAAACACCATAATAGAATCATGTTCCCATGTAACGTGTATGCAATATTCTAAGTCTTTTTAAAGAGTTAGTTCACCCAAAAAATGAAAATGGAAAATTCTGACATCAGTTACACACCCTCATTTCGTTTCAAACCAATAAGACTTTCGTTCAAGTTTCTGTCCCTCCTTTGAAACTCCATACAACCAAACTTTGCTGATCCAATATGTTCATAAAGCCGC